TCCCTTGATACCAAGGAGCCTTGCCAGGGCGGTTTGCTCTACCGCCTCGGCCTTTCTCGCCAGCACCATCTTGACCTTTCTCCTTATCACGCTTATCATACTCAGCCCTCTACTTTTTGACGAGTTGCTCAACCTGATGACACTCCTGAAGATCGTGGCCCTTGGTCTGATGGATCTTGCAGTACTGCCAATCACCCTTCCCAGCCTTCTCGACAACCGTGACTTCCTGGCAATCAGTGCACGCGGCAGCTTCTTTGCCGAGGGCCTCGGTCTTGGCCTTCTTGCCGGTACTAGGTGCGCTCGATCCTTCAACTGTCATCACTGCTTTGTCTTTGCGCTTCTTTCCGTTTTTCTTCTGATTGGTGGTGTCGTCGTCGTCCTCCTTTGAGCCAACATAGGCGCCATCCTCTTCATCGGGGAGCCGCCTCCCCTCTTCTACACGGGCACACTTGTCCACCAGGGTGTACAGCTCATTCACAGTCTTGGGCAACCGCACGTTCATTTTGGAACGTATCATGCGGTTGCGTATGTTGGACTGCAATGTAGCTATCACCGATGTCGGGTGGATGTCTGGAATGTTCCTGTGCACTCGACTGAACCTTTGCATGTACTTCCGCAGACTTTCTCCTTCCTTCTGCGGGAGGAGCTGCAAGTCGCTGGGCCGTCCAGGTTCTTGATGGCCACCCGTGAAGGCACCAACAAACTCACGGCATAGATCAGCCCAGGTTAAGATGGAGTTCTTTGGCAGGTGCATCAGCCAAGATCTCACATTTGGTTTAAGTGCCAAAGGGAAGTAGTTGGCGAATACCTTCTCATCTCTTCCCCCATCTGCCTGAACAGCGATGGTGTAGATGCTCATAAACTCTGACGGGTTCAATCTCTCATTGTACTTCTTCGGTATCTCTGGCTTGAACATGCGGGAGGATGGACAACGAACTTGCCACAATTCACGAGTGAAGGCGGGGCACCCAACTTCGAAAGGCAGGTACCCGCTCTCACCGGGTGTGGGTTCGTCGACATCGGGGCCATTGCACCTATCAGACTAGCGACATGTTTTTCGGCATGGCTCGATGGTGACGCGCGTGTCTTCCCTCCGCATGTCTTCTAGGCTCGCCGCTGGTCTCGATGCACTCGAGGGTCGGATGAAGCCATCGATACGTCGTCGGGTTCTTGGTTGTGTGGCTCTAGCTGTGGCCCCTGCGCTGGCTGCCGCGGAGGGGACTGCACCATGGGGGTACCCCCTTCGGTACGACCAGCAGCCCGGGCCGTCGTTGCCGCCTATGGAGGCCATGGCGGGCCTACCAGCTGTGGTCCTCCCGCCTCGTCGAAACCAATCAAACTCTAAATGGTAGCTCTCCATTCATCCATTTGATCGGCCGCCAGTGGGAATCTCAATAGGAGTTGGGCCCGCGCCATAGCCTCCAAAGCAGTGTTTGGCATGGACGGCGACGCAGATTGTGACATTGCTCGGCTTCTGATGGTGCCAGTAGTGATGGCACCATGCTCTCGCCGCCTTGAGCCGGTCGCCAACGCGGCGTGGCGACGAGGAGGATGTGCGCGGGGATTGTCGACCCCGTCCGGTGCATTATCTTTGCCAGCTTGCTCTGGGGTGGCGCGTGACCTATGGCCGCACCCGCAGCGGGGGCAGCCAGAGCATTGCGGCGGTTTGCCCCAGAACGAGCGCCATCGGTGCGGCTACGCCCCTCAACGGGACGGAGAGGCAGCGATGGAATGATTTCTCCACCCGTACCTTGTGGGGCGTGGCTGTTGGGATGTTGTTGGCGCTATCCCTCTCTGGTGCCTCCTGCTCCCATTTCAGACGCAGGGGAGGTGGTGACGCCGCCTCCTACGCCCGCCCCATCCCCCACAGCGTCCATGTCCTCGTGCATCCCCGAAGCCCCCACGACCTCGACGACCGTGTGCGGAGGGGCGTTCGAGGTGGACGGGGGAGCTGCAGCGCCGGTCTTCTTCTTGGGCGCCATGGATGATGAAGCCATCGATGAAGAAAACGATGATGAAGATGACGCGCTGCATACACTCTCGGGTTCGCACAAGCGCTCCCCCTACCTGGCGCACCAAAGATGTCGTGGGAAACCACGACCACCTATGGGGCCATCAACCACTTGTGGTTTGGCGGGGGGAAGGAATGCATTGCATAAAGAGCGGAGGGTGCAGGGGCAGCGCGATAGCGATCACACATGCAATTTTACCCAGGTTCGGGCCACCACGAGGCGTAAAACCCTACTCCTGGTTTGGTGGATAGATGAGAGGACCGTGGTGGAGACGCATCGCTCTAGCCCGACAGGGTTTCCTTGGGACGAGAGCATCTATGCGTGTATGGGTGTACAAAGGTCCAAATCCTTTCCAAGGTTGCCATGGCCCTCCTTTTATAAATTAAGGGGTCACCACAATGGCAAATCAGTCATTGTGTACTGACTAGATAGTAAAAAATGCTATCATACCTAACTCTGCAGACAGGGCAGGCCGCTTAGTGTCACATCGTGGTGTGCCCGACAAGCCTTGCCGGGTCGTTCGGCCACCTTCTCGCCTATCTGCTTGACACGTCTCTGGATGGGTGTCATTTTGGAGGTGATTTCCTTTAGAAGTGGCTGCCATGTGTCAAATAATAGCCACTCAGTCACTTGGGGGCTTGACAAGCTTGCCGGGGGATTCTTGAGGTTGTCTTCGGGGTAACTTCGACCTTGCCATGCTCGCCTGCCCAACGAGGGAGCTTTTTCCTTAGTGGTATTTTTCTCATTTGGCTTGACTTGGTCTTCTTAATCTGCCCTTTGATTTCTCAAAGAGCTATTTCTTCTGCTTGGTATTGTCTTGGATGTTGTAAGCTTGCCCTTGTGCCTGTGTATAGTCAGGGCAACACACCTGGGGTTTGTTGCACCGACAACGCGCATCGGTGATCGCGTCCCTACCATTCACCACAAGTGAAGCATAAGCCCTTGCTGCGTCGATATGCGCGAAGAGCAGCTAGCTTGTCGTTGTTCGTGGTTGGCCGGTTGTTGTCGTTTGCACGGTTGTCCTCTTGGCACACGTTAGGCTAGGGCACGCCTGATCTTGATGGCGGCAATGGCAGAGGAAGGGCCATGTGGGTACCGCGTGTCCACTCATCGACAGTAGGGGCGGAAAGGAGTGCCTCCTGTCCTCAGGCCTGAATGTCTCCACCACCTCTTCCTGCAAACACGCGAGATCCACATCAGTATCCAAGGTTTGGGGACGATGTAAAACGACGGTTGCGCGGATGTCGCATTGCAAAACATCCATGAATTGAGTAACAAAGAATGCAGGATCCCAAGATGTGTGATGAGCTAGGAGTTGGTGCATGAGTTGTGCATATTCAGCTGTCGTCCCTGTTTGCTTAAGCCTATTGAACTGGCGAAGAAGATTTTGGAATTTCTCCCGACCAAACTGGGTGCAAATGGCGGTGGCAAACTCTCCCAAATCTAGGTAATGTACGTGAGCTTGAGAGGATTGAAGCCATGTTAGGGCTCCCTCTGTGAAGTACATGGCAACACAACAAACCCATGTATCAGGACTAAGAATGCACACCCGGAAGTAGGCTTCGCATTTGAGGCGCCAAGCCTTTGGGTTAGTTCCATCAAACAGAGAAAAATCGAACCGCGATGATGGTGGAAAACGGTGATATTCTTGGTCACCTGAGAACGAGTGCTCCCCAGCATGGAAGGAATCAGACGTACCAGTGGCCAGATGCAATCGTGGGGTGTGGATCTCCCCCAACGGTTTCCCCCGAAGATCTACTGCAACGCCGTGGCCATGCGACCAGTAACCTTCGTCACCCCTGGCCTGAGGTAGGTTGCCTTGATGTGGGCACGACATGTCTGCCAACAGAGGAAGTAGAGCAGGCAGATCAGTAAGACGAACATGTGCAATCATTGTCTCCTTCGCCTTGTCCACCGACGGGGCCTTGTCGTTGATCTGGGTATGGATGTTGTTGGCCTCCTGTCGCAACTCGTCCATGGATCGCTCGATGGAGGGCTTCCAACTCTAGAGATCGAGCACCACAGGGTGGATGTCGTTGATCTTGGCCGTCAGCGCAGCGATGGCCGTGGTCAGGTTCGTCAGCGCCTTGGCGTGCTCGTCCTTGCTGCGCGGGGTTTTGATGATGGAGGGGAAACACCCGACTAGATTCGGAGATAGAGAAAAAAAATTGGTGGATCGGAACGGCTCTGATACCACTTGTTACGCTCTCGCTAGGAATTTATCTCTCGAATATTGAATGGGATATAATTATTCAATTGGTAGCTAGGGTTCCCGAGGGGGAGAAGGGGATCAAGGAAGAGAAGCCGCCGCCAATACACAATACTTGTTCGTCACCACACGCAGGAGGGCTCGACCTCCTCTTAACCACGTCTGTGGTGTCCCAGACATGGGCCGGGAAGCAGCTGTTGCGGCCAGCTGGTCGTCACGGCCGTTCCAGTCCAACAGGAGGAGTCATGGTCGCCGGTGGTGGGGCCAACTGGTCAGAACACGTAATAGGGGTTGATGTTTAGGTCGGGAATGGATCGAAAATTTTGGACCATGTTTTCTGTGTGTTTATTTTCAAACGGACGTGGGCGGAACATTTAGTGCCTTATACTTTGCTTAGCCCATCCGCTATTCCGCGGGGACGAAATGTTGTGCCGTGTGTGAGAGGCGGCAACGAGGAGGAAAAGCGGCGCCAAAGTGTTTTCCTGTGTTCGCTCTTTCCCTCCATTCCGTCCCCTCCTCTTTCCTCTGTCTCTCTCTCCTACGGTCCTCCCTCCTCCCCGCCACGGAGAAAGGGGCCGGCGAGAAATCTTGGTCGCACCGCGCCTCACTGATCCATTGCAATTGATACCTGTGAGGGTTAGTATGTGCTTTCCTGAATCCTAGACCCCCCTCTCTAATCTTGTACGCATGACTTTTTTTTTTCTTGGTGATTTTGCTCCTAGCCAGTGGCTGATTCGTCTCACCATGTTCTTGGCTGGTTGGGACAAATGTGTGTAGGTATGGACCAAGAACGTGATGGCCCCAATCCCAGTCCCAGCAGCAAGGAAGAGGTGGAAATACTGACGGGTACGATTCTTATCTCGTTCTTGCAATATGTTCCTGCGATGCAATGTCGTTTCCTTCAATCCATCTGGATGGGACTGTTGGCCGCCCTGACATACTTGTACATACTCTACCCTACCTCTAGCCTTCCAAGTGCTACTTGTCTCGTTTGCTCACTGATCTTAGTATAAATAAAATGTACGATGTTGAGATCCAGTTTTAGTCTTCGGGGTCCAATTTGGCCTGTTCGATATTTGGTCATTTGCTCAAATGTGTTCAATTATTATCTGTAAAGAATTTACTCGATTTCATCAGGAAATGTTCAGCTGTCAATATACACAATTTACTCAAATGGCTGCATGTTTTGATATCTAGGCATGGAAGATGAAGTAGACAGTGCTAATGACATGGTAGAACAAGAGGAAAGCACCGGCAGCGCCCCTAGCCCATCGTTTTCAGGCAGAAACACGAAAAGGCTCCGGTCGAAAGGGTGGGACGATTTCATGCCCATTTTCGTCGGAACTAAGCTTGCAAAGGCTGAATGCATGCACTGCCAGAAGGTTTACAACGTCGGCTCCAGTGGCACTAGCAACCTGCTAAAGCACCAGGCCAAGTGCAGCGCTAGGGCCCATAAAAGGCCAATGCAAGACAAGCTTCAAATGTTGCCATCTACCCAGAAGAGCACCGTTGCAGCTAGCCCTGGTTTGACACAGAAGAAGCTCCCATTCTCCCTCGCCAGCCAGAAGAAATGCTTGAGCACAGCCGATGCAATGCTTCAGAAGAAGGGTCTTGCTTTGCTTGACATTCCCAATGACATGAATCAGGAGGTTCATCAGAATTCATCTCATGAGGAACTTGCAGGACGCGAGCAGAAGAATCAGTTGGGAGCAAAACTTGCAGTGCCTGAGCAGGACATTCTCACTAACATGAATCGGAAGAATCCAGAGGTTGATCAGGGTGAGCCACACAAAGAACTTGTCAGGATATTTGCTGCGCACGGGCAGTCACCATTTATAAGAGCCCATGATAGGTTTAGCAAGTTTGTTGCTTGCTTGAATCCTATGGTCAAGATGCCAGATGAATATGTCATGTGCAGGTACTTTAAGGAACTGTTTGACAAAGAAAAGACCAACCTGAAGGAGAAGCTTGCCGCTTTGGGCAGTCGGGTTTGCTTGAGTGCTTATGTGTGGCACTACGATTTGCTCTCAGCGTTCTTATGCCTGAGTGTTCATTACATTGATGGTCAATGGGAGAAGCAGAAAAATATCATCAAATTTCGTGCCGTCGATCCTTCCTGCAGTGGAGAGGAATTGAGCCAGTCTATATTGTATGCTATTGACGATTGGGGTCTTCGTGACAAGGTTTTCAGCATTATACTGGACGATGCATTTCTGGATGATTCAGTTACTTTAGATGTCAAAGCTCGTCTCGAAAAATGGAACCTTCTCTCGGCTAATCGGAGTGTGTCTACATCTGTAAATCAGAGCTTGTTTGTGATAAGGTATGCAACTCATCTAGTTAAACATGTCATACAGGTTGGGAAGGATGAACTTGAGAAAGTCACGCAGAAGTCAACAAAGTGTTCTAAGTATACAAAGGGCCACATTCCTCCGGTAGTACATTATCCGAACCACAGATATGCACCGTCACCAGGAGGCTGGAAAAGTGCAAAGAAGATTTGTAAGGTCATGGAAGATTTGCAACGACACATGGATGAAATACACAATTGTTGCAATCCAGCTGACCTGTTTGACAAGGTGTGGGATGTTAAGAAACTTTTGCATCGTGATGCTGATTCCTATATCTGGGGAGATAGTAAAATTTCCAAAGAACTGGAGAAGATGCAAGAAAAGTCTAAGGAGCAGTGGAAACTCTGTTGCTTAAATATATGTATGCCTATGATCATGGATCCTTCATACCGTTTGAAACGCATCAAGTCCCGTCTCCGGTCTGATGCAGGCAATTATCATCTGGAGAAGCGGAGTTTTGAAGATGATATAGAAGATTATATTGAAGAAGTGCATGCCATATTGCTCAACCTCTTCTGTGAATATTCTGATCAGGTGGAAGACACTAGCTGCACGTCTGGATCTAAAACTAGAAAAAGAACTCTTGGGGAGGGACGTGATACACTGATGGACTATTACCAAGCCGCCGAATATCCATACAGTGAGCGACCGATGATAGAACTTGATCAGTACATGCAGGAGCCAGGTCTCTCTGCAGATGAGTCCAGTGTTCTCCAATGGTGGAAGGAACACAACCTGACCTATCCTACAATTGCTCGGATGGCACGTGATATATTGGCCGTGCCACTCAGTGTAGACTGCAGCGTAGCAATAAAGACTGCGAGGCGCACAATTTGCGAGTCTAGTAGCATGTGGCGTGAAGAGGTTGTGTGTGTTCAGGACTGGCTCAGATCAGATGGTATGGTCCATACCCTTGGTTTTCTCTTTTTTATCCCATTAAAGCTGTCTTGTGCTAATCGTAGTTCTCATGTCATCATAGGTTCCTCGAGCGAGTGATATTTTCAAGTGAATATTTCAACCTTCAGGATGTCCCATGTAAGCTGCTTTGCTTCCTAGTCCACCCACTTTAATCCTATCCTTTTCGACGAGTGACTGCTGATTGGTTACCTTTCTGATGCAGGATTCAAATACGAGATATTGCGCAGACAGGGAGTTCCTTTTTGACAGTTTTGGAGGCAGTATGCTAAGCTGATTTGTCAAGATGTAGTTAACAGCACAGTAGCTTCTCAGTTACTAGTGAGGTGTAGCGAGGCTTTTGTGTCTATGCTTGGTGAGGAGTCTGTCAGTAATTCCTACTTCTAGCTTCAGATACACCTGAAAATTATGTCCAGATATTACTTATAATTTTGCTAGTACCTCGCGTGAAAAATTTACGTTTTTCCTGGACCAGCTTGATTTGTCGGTTCAAAGGTTCAGACTTCTGAACAATGTGATGCACTCAGCCTTTCAGCACGCTGCTAATCTGATTTATGCCACTTCTACGACTAGAATCCTCTTTCCTGTCTTTCTAAGATTTCTGTTTATAAATTTCTCATCCGAGGCTGTCCAAAGCGTGGTCCATAGGGACTGCCTGTAGTTTGCGAAATTCATTGGTTTCTTTTCTTTTAACAGCAACAATAATAATAAATCAACTATGAATTTGCTTACGGTTGTCTCAACAAGGCGTCAATAAGAATCAGATGCATGGCCAAACAAAGAAATGTCACTAAAAATTCATTTACACTGCTTGCAAGTGAAGCGATGAGATTGTGAGCAATGGCATTAGCGTTTGTTCCCAAAATGTCATGCGTCCATCGATTTTGTGTGTGTAGGTGTATCTCGGTTCCGTTTAATCACCATTATTGGTAGTCCTGGCCATGGGAAGCCTGGCCCGACCCGACGCTGCTCCCGGGCCGGGCTCGGGCCTAGATTTTGAGCCTGATGGTCGGGCCCGTCGATTTTGCAATTTCCTGAAGGGGCCCAGCCCGTGGCCCAAGGCCCGTCGGGCTTTTACATGTTAGGGCCGGGCTCGGGCCTAAAAACCAGGCCCGATGGCCGGGCCGGGCCTGGGCCTGGTTTTTTTGCCTCGGGCTTGGCTAGGCCCGGCCCGAGGTTTGGCCAGGTATAATTATTGGCTGACGGTCGATTCGACTGCTTTCACAACGGTATTAATACTCCGTAAACATATATTTAGTGCACACATAGTTTCATACATTTCACAATTATACTAAAAAATATTTATGTTTATCCACAAAATAAAATGTTTTTTTGCGCAAAATAAAATGTTTATTTGGAATGATGGAATCCAAAATTATGAAAGTAAAGCCCGTTTGCAGTCTTTGGATCAAAATTCGTGTGCAAGCTGTCATCGGCAGGTCAAGCCGGTGGCTTGTTTCGGCGGTGGTAGTGGTCGTTTGGTAGTTCAGGGGCTTCGATGAATTTTTTTATTATGTTTGGAGTGATTTGTACTTTCGGATCATCCTCATACACAAAAACAAAACGTGTGCATTTTTATTTTGAACTTGTGTGCATTTTTTTGATAGGACAGAAACTGTGTGCAGTTAGAAACAAATCCATCCATTAGGCCGAAACGTCCTGTCTTTTAGGGTATGGCCTGTCTACATAGCAAGCCCAGTAGCCCATAAGGCAGGAGGCGCAGCGATTGCGCGCGGAAAAGCGGCGCGAAAGGCTCTCTCCTTTTTCACTTCTCCCTCCACGGCCCCCTCTCTTCCGCCGCCGAGGTAAAAGAAAGAAGGCAACAAAAATCTCAATCCGCTCTTGGTCTCACCCTCCCCGAGGGCGCAGAAGAAACACGGCAGCGATCGCAATCCAGCTCTACTCTGACCTGCCGCCTCCGGGCCAACGGTATGCGCCTTCTGGAATTCTTGCTCCGTTTCTTCTCCGTAGATAGTGCTGTCAGCCTGTCACTCATGACTGGTTTTCTTGGTGGATTTTGCACTTTCCTGTTCGTTTGATATGTGCGTCAGATCTGATTGGTCAACTTGCGTCGGATAAAATTGCATCTCCCTAACTGTGTACGTATGGATCAGTAATGTGATTCTCGCATATGGCTCGGCAGGGAGGGGATGGGGGTGAAAAATGGTACCATCTCCCATACCAATCTATAATCTATGTAGTTTGAATGGCATCAGAACCATTAATCAGAAGCTGCAACGATATTCCATTTGATCGATTTGAATGGTATCGGTATTTTCTGTTGCGCTCCCATTGTTCTTCTAGCTGTTACTCCTCTAACTCCCAATTCGGTCTCTCGATCCATTTTTACAGGAATCGACCATTTGCTAATTTGTTTACTTAAAGTTCCACAGAGAACTTGTTCAAACTTATAAGGAAATGCTGAAATATTAACACACACTTTTTTTCTTCAAATGGCTACATTTTTACTGGTCCTGCCTTTTTTTATGCCTAGGCATGGAACAGGAAGTTGACGGTGGCAAAAACATGGTGGCACAAGAGCACAACAATGGCAGCCTCTCCCGTGCAAACCCGAAAAGGCTCCGATCGAAGGCGTGGGAAGATTTCACACCAATCTACGTTGGCGGGAAGGTCGCGAAGGCTGAGTGCATGCATTGCCACCTGGTCTTCAATAGCAACAGCACAAATGGCACTAGCAACCTGCTTAAGCACCAAGCCATGTGCGGCCCCCGGGCCCAGAAGAGGCCAATGCAACGGAAGAGTACAGCATCAGCTGGCTCTGATCCGACACAGAAGAAGTTATCGTTCTTTCCCACCAGCCAGAAGAAATGCTTGGGCACAGCAGATGCAAGGCCTGAGAAGAAGGATCTTGTTTTGCTTCGCAGTGACACTAATCGGATGAGCCAAGAGGGTAATCACAATGGGTCTCACGAGGAACTTGGATCGCCTGGGCAGAATGATCTTTCCTTGCCTGATGTTCCCACCGACACGAAAACAAAGAGTCAACAAGTTGATCAAAATGGGTCTCATGACGAACTAGCTACAGCTGAGCAGGAGAATGATGCCTTCCCTGACAATCCCATCAACAAGAATGTAAAGAATCAGTCCCATGAGGAACTTGCATTGCCTGAACACAAGGCCATTCCTACAGCCACGAAACAGAAGAATCAGGATGTTGGTCAGGACGGATCCCATGGCGAGCTTGTTAGGAAATTGGCCTTGCACGGTTACCTGCCCTTGATGATGGACCATGGAGGACTCAGGAAGTCTGTGGATTTCTTGAATCCTGTGGTCAAGATGCCATCCTATGCTGACTTGATATCTACATTTTTGGATTTGTTCGACGGTGAAAAGGCCAAGCTGAAGGAGAAGTTTGCAGCCCTTCGCAGTCGGGTATGCTTGAGTGTTTACGTTTGGCACTATGATCCACTCTCGGCATTCTTGTGCTTGAGTGTTCATTACATTGATGATGAATGGGAGAGGCAACAAAAGATCGTCACATTTCGTGCCATGGATACTATCTGCAATGCAGAAGAACTGGGTGAAGCCATATTGCTGGCTATCCGAGATTGGGGTCTTTGTGGAAAAGTTTTTAGCATTGTACTGGATGATGCATTTATTGATGATTCAGTGGCTTCAAGTGTCAAAGCACAGCTCATGAAAGATAACTCAACCTTTGCAAACCAGAGCCTGTTTGTGGTGCGTCGTGGAACTCATTTACTTGATCAGGTTATTCAGGTGGGGCTGGATGAACTTGAAAAAATCATGGAGAAATCAGCGAACTGTTCTAAACCTATGATGGGTCCTAAGTCGTCTGCAGTGCGGTATCCCAACTACAAATACGCACCATCTCAGGAAGACTGGGGCGAAGCGCGTAAGATGTGTGAGACCTTGGAAGAGTTTCATCAGTACATGGACACAAGTCAGAGTCTTCGTGGTCCAGTCCACTTATTTGATGCAATTAGGGATGTGAAGCGTGATTTGCGCCGCGGAGTTAAGAGCGATGCGGATGGATCATTTTCCAATATGCTAAAGAAGATGCAGCAGAAGTTCAAGCAATATTGGAAACTCTGTTGCTTACATTTATGTATGACTATAGCCATGGATCCTTCATACGGCCTGAAACACATCAAGTCTAGGAGCGGTTACCTCTGTAAAAATGACAAAGATGGCTATAAAAAGGATGTCCATGATACATTGCTAAGTCTCTTCTATGAATATTCTGGTCAGGTGGAAGACGCCAGCTGCACTTCTGGGTCTAAAACTAGCAAGGAAACTGTTATCACTGAAGATGGTATGAATGAAGATGATGCACCATTTGCATGCTGTGGCGATTATGGAGACAAATGTAATAAAGGGCGGCCGATGATAGAACTTGACCAGTACTTGCATGAGCCAAGCTACTGTAGAGGCCAGACGAGTGTTCTTCAGTGGTGGAAGGAACATAACCTGACCTATCCTACAATTGCTCGAATGGCACGTGATATATTGGCTATGCCGTACAGATGCGACTACGAGGTAGCAACAAGGACTGCCGGACTTGCAATTTGCGAGTCAGGTCATAAGCACTGGGTTGAGCAGCTTGTCTGTACTCAAAATTGGCTCGGACCAGACCGTACGTTCCACTCTCTCGCTTTTCTCATCGATATCCTGTCACATTCTCGTATTAACCATACATTGTGCAACCCTAGGTTCTGCAAGCAAGGCCTCAGCCAATGATCTTTCCGACTGAGTACTTGGGCCTTCTTAATCTTCCATGTAAGACCCTTTTCAAATTTATACACGGCAATCCGATTCTGAACTAGTAGTACTAAGCTATGGCTCAACAGTTACCTTTCTGATGCAGGATCCTTTTTATCTTTTTGGAAGGAGACGCTGGATTTAAAGACGAGAAATGTGCGAAGGGCGACATTTGTTCAGACGGTTTTAGTGAATGCATGCTGGTATCACTTAGCAGCTATGATTATGAGTAGTTTTAGACATTTAGTGATGATGGTGGAGGTGTAATGGCGCTTTTGTACGTATGTGTCGTGGACCGGGGAGCTTGTCAGTAATTTCCACTTCTAGTTTTCAGATATTTTGTCAACATCTCATCCAATGATACCTGATCATGATGTTCATATGCCCAACTATATATACTACTCTCTTCTAGTGCTTGCAGCACATTCCTCTACCCTTGAGTCCTCTTCTGGTGCTCCTTTTTTTTCGCAATTTCTGGCACGGGTTTGATTGATTTGTTGGTCAAAAAAGAGGAGGCTTTTGTCTCAACAATGATACACCACCACCTCGACCGACCTTTTTGAGCAACGCACGCCGCAGCTAATCAGGCTTTCGCCACTTCACTTAATCATGAGCCAGGATGCATGGGATCACAGTTCTAGCCAGATCGCCAATTAATCCTCCCACCCAAATACCCAATGCACGCAACTGTAAGATCTGGATCTGGAACATCTCAAGGGACCAGACACGCACAGAAGTTACCAGCTGGATAACAGATATCTTCATGCGTCGTGGCTCGGGCTCTAACCGAACCGCGACGCGCGACTGGCACAAATGTCCTGGTAACCGTATACTAGATAACATGTCTGAAATACTATTTTCAGAGGTCGGGATTGGCCTCCGGGGCTAAAACTAAGCGCGATCACTGGCCTGCTGCACTGGCCGTGGCCTGTGGATCCGGATCTCAGTACAATCAGCACCAGTTCTTTATTAGCTCAGCTCAGCTTCAGTTTCAGTTGTTCCAAATGCAGAGACTGACCCTGACCCTGACTGACCCTTGTGCGGCGTGCAGGACAGCATGCGAGACCGGATCCCGAGCGGTGAGCGGCCGGAGCAGCGCCGATGCGCGGAGCCACACGTGCGACGGTGGCCTCTGCCCGACGGGAGCCCCGCTGGAGCTCGACTGGCGGGCATCGTTGGGCGGCGCCTGTCCGGCATGGCAAGTGGCAATGGCATCGCCCTCGGCCTGGGCTCTATCCAAGTGGACTGGACGACTGTCACTGGCCGAGCTTAGTTATAGTTAGCATATGTAGCAGATAAACTAAACAGTGCAGAATCACCAGCAGTGGTGCCGCTGTTGTCCTCGGCTGCCGAGTTTTTTACGCTCTGGAACACTGGAAACGCATGTGCCATCTTCCTGAAAATTCAAAACGGGCTTGAGTTTCATCTGGAGCCTCGATCTTGCGGTTGATCAATGCAGCTTTGTCGCCATCAGTGACAACTAGTGGTACGGTTTGATTCCAGCAGGTTGCCAATACACATGGAAATCTGCTGATTTTTGCAAACGACGTGCCGTGCATGGTAAAACAAACAGCCGCTCATGTACAACTTGCAATGCCGCAGACCAACAGCCGAAATTTCGGCGTTCCATCGAGATTGCCGGGAATCGGCGATATTGGGAAAATCCATGAAATTCAGGAACATTAGAGTTTTCATTAAAATAGACTTCGTCTGGTAGAATCATTTTCATTATTATTTTCACGACAAACTCTTGCCTTTTCTTTTAGAAATGGAGCAGGACCCCGGTCTCTGCATCTGAACGATGCATGCATCCACTTTATTAATTATTCACACAAAATCTCACAAAGTGATACAACAGTAAGACTAAAGCCACCGTCTAGGCAACATTTTCGCTACTCCTATCCAATTGATGAAGGGATGCTGATAGTCTAGGCCTAATACCAAACAGACCTCGCAGCCAAACCTAACATCTAAGACCTGAGGTCCCATGCAGGACGCCTGCCGGGTATGGGTCACCCACCGGTCCGGCGCACTCCTCAACTAGGACGCCTGCCGGGTATGAGGCCGCCGCAGCCACCTGCCACCAATCCATCTTCGAAGATGTACTGCTGCATCTACTTTGCCCGTTCTAACTGCCGTCGACGCCACCGTGACGCCAAACTGCGTCACCCTCCTGCGCGAGTCCATCTCCGCGCATCGAACGCCGAGTCACCACAGCGCCATGCCGCCGAGACCCGCCGCCATCAATGAGTGAGACGACGCATCGCTCCACCAAAGAATCCATTCTCTGGTCCTTCGATCACGTGTGTACCTCCAAGAATGACGCCCCCAAGGGAGGAACGACACCAGAGGGCCGCTGTCATCCAATCTAGGGTTTCCTCCGAAGGTAGCAGAGAGTGGCCTTGAACTTCTCCATGGCGATGCCTTCAAGAAGGGAACGATGCAGATAGCGTCGTCACCGCCGGCCTTGGCTGTAGCCGAAAGCAAGTTTTCACCCAGCTCTGTTCGAAGGAATTCAACTCCCGTGCACGGCCGCCGCCACCACCAGGCTGAGCACACGCTGCCGCCGGCACCTCCACCCAGAGGCCTCGAGATAACCGGCGGAGCCTGGTCACCAGATGCACCACCACCGCCATCCCGCAGGGCCACCGGCCAATCCCATCTCCAAAGCCTCAATCCCCGATCCAATCTGGGAGTAACCAGATCCGCCGCCAGGAGGCAGCGCCCATGCCAGATAGAAACACTGCTTGAAAGAGTTTGAACTTATTTTCTCTAACTTCAATTATAGAACTAACCTTTTTCTGATTAATTTCTCATTTGATTTTTGAAAATTCTTTCAATACAATGAAAAAAAATCCAAAAGGGTTTCTATTTAATGACGAAATTAAAAAAATTGATCAAAAGGGGTTTTCACCCTCCCCATTTTTATTAAAAACGGGCACAGCACCCAGGCAAGATGAAATTGGATTTTTGAGAAGTGTCTAGAATGAAAGTCTTTTATGCTCTTATTAATAAGATTTACTAACCTAAGTCGCGGGAGTTTGGCGGAAATTCGGGCGTTTCAAATTCAAAAGAGGCTTTGAGATTACGAGGTTGCAAGCCACTCCATCGAAAGCACTCACAGTTTCACCACGGCAATAATTACTACAGTACACGAGAGATGAAACAAGCTTCGTTCCTATTGCTGCTGCTGCTCTGGTACTCTGATTTTTACAGGTTTTTTCTTCTGGTCTGGTAGGTCCCAACTCCAAGCACTTTTATACTACTAAGAAAAACAAAAGAAAGGAGAAGAAAAGCGGACTGTTAATCCGTCGATTAGCTCGCAGTGGATTCAGAGATGCTACTGCTGGCGCTGCTGCTCTGGCCCGCCGCGGCTTCGGAGATGCTCTGCAGGGACGGGCGCCAGTGCCGGCCCCTGCCGCTCCCGGCCGGCTGCGCGCCGCCGGAGCCCCGGTGCCGGTCCTTCTCCCCCCGCTGCTTCGCGTTCGCGTTCGCGTCCTGAGGAGGCAGGAGCGCGTATAGGAATCAGTATACTGCTTCGTGCGGTTTCAGATAGGAAGAGGAGATTATCATCAGGAGAATGGAGAGGCACTGACCTTGTCAGAGGCGCCCTGCTCCGCCCCGTCGCCGCGCCGGAGCTGGTCGTGCTGCTGCTTGATGGCCTCGCACCGCCGCATCTTGTCGTTCTTCCTCGCCCGCAGCGCCTTGGTCACCTCTGCGCACCGCAACACCAACAAGCATCGATTAGAAACAGATTGCTGCAACGAACGGCGGAATCCAGGCACAGGAACGAGCTCCGCGCCATGGATGACACGGAAGAAGAGCACGGCGGCTCTCGATGTCGACGGACGCAGTCACGCAGGGAGAGTGGAGGACAGTACACGAACCTTGCGCGGTGATGAGGCGGTAGACCTGGCCGAGGTGAAGCACGTCCTTGGGCTTGAGGAGCTTGACCCGGGTGATCTTGGCGGCGGCGCCCGCGCCTGCGACGGCGGCCGCCGCGGCTGCCTCGTCCCCCGCGGCCGCCTTGTCGTCGGGGGAGAGGCGGAGGATGACGAGCGCGACGTAGTGGCCGGGGTTGGTCTTCATGACCTCGGCGGCCGGGGTGGGCCAGTAGAGGCGCTCCACCTTGCCGCCGGGGTGCTGTATGATGACCTCCGCCGCCTCGGCCGCCTGGCAGTTGCCCATCGCACCTCGCTTGTGCCGGCGGAGCTAGTGGCGTCTGGTGAGCTCTGGGGGAGGAGGGAGAGGGAGGTGGTGGTGGAGGAGGAGCAGAGGAGAGGAGAGCAGGAGGTCACGCAGTTGCCGTTTCGAGGGAAGTGGTGGCGTTAAATGTGGTGAAGGGAAAAGGCGCCGGCCATGAGGGGAGGGGAGTTTTGGCTGGCCTCATCTAGTCTCGTCTCAGCACACTGCAAATGGGCAATGGTGGACACGTGGAGCACTACTGCACTAAACTGGTCTTCTTTTGGAACATAAAAAACTGCAAAATTTCTATTATGAATTTGTCAAAACCATTCTCGCCACCGAAGGTAAGGGTAAAGGCGCCCTGCAAACGACATCACACAGTAGTCTACAAAAAGGTACTCCTACTAACAAACTGTTTGCCTGCCACAGACCCTCGCCTTCTTCATCTCATGCGTTCTCACCCGTATCCGTTTATGTTATTCGAGAAGTATAAGAGCATCCCCACTCGTTTGGTCCTCAGGGGTTAAAAAAACGTCGTCCTGGGACGCGTTGGCTGAAATATCAGCTTGGGGCGATCTGGTTCTCGGCCGTCGCCCGAGGTGCCGATTTCGGCTCATTTTTGGAGTAAATTAGCCCATTTAGAGCATCTCTAGTAGACCCATTAAAATCGCAAACTGCAAAAACTGGGATACGAGTTGGAAAAAGTGCATTTTAATGGTTCATTTTAGCTGCGGCTGAACATATACTATAAAACAAACTGTAAAATTAGAATAAAGAGCTCCTTCCTCCAGTCCGGCCGCTGCCGCCCCTTCCCCCAGCCGGCCATGCCGGTCGCGTCCAACCCCGTCGGCCGCACCCATCGCCCACAGGCCATGCCGCGTCGCCCGTCGGTCGCGTCCCGCCCCTGTCGGCCGCGCCCCATCACCGCGCCGGCCGCGCCCAGCCTTGCCCTGTCGCCTCCTCGTCCGCGCCCAGCCTTGCCGGTCACGCCCCGCCGCCTCGGCCGTCCGCGCCTTACTCTATTGCCAGCCGAGTCATGCCCCTTTGCATGCCGCGCCGGGAGGATTCCGGGGGCCACGCTGAGGTCATGGGAGGCCACGGCTATGTCGAGCTCGTCCAATTCGAACCGGCGGTGATCGATTGCGGCGCCTAGCGGCCTTTTCCGGTGAGCGGTGATGAATTCCAGTGAGTTTAGGGCGGATTCCGGCAAACTCCGCGGCGGCGTGTTTGCTCCGACGAGGTTTGAACGGTATACGGGCCCCCCTAGATTCGGCCTTCCAACCTCCAAAGATAAGGGTTTCGGGTGGGCATTTGCGGTGGCCCTTAAAAATTTTACGGGTTGGACCACTTTTATGGTTTTTGTTCTGGACACTTTTTCGTCCAAAACTGTAAAACGCAAAAAATTTACGAGTTTGACCACTTATGCGAGGTCTGCTAGAAATGCTCTTATCAGCTCATTTTCGGCGCAAATTAGCCCACTATAGGCGCAAATTGACCAATTTCAGCCCGTATTCGGCGTACTAAGGGCACAAATTGAACCGAAGCTATTTTTATCACATAGTTCATCATAGAAAATCAATAGAAATCAAATAGTTCAATACAAATAGTTCAACAAATAAAAACTCATATTTCATCACGTCTCGAGCTAGGCGTTTCCCTTGAGCCTCCATAGGTGCTCCAACAGATCCCGCTGCAGTTGTTGATGCACCTGTGGGTCTCAGATCTCCTGACACATATTGAGGAAGGCAGTTCAGGTTGCCGGTAGCTGGTGATCAACTTGGGAAAGAGGACCCTGTATGTAATATGGTTCAGTGTCAAACACTGGCTCTTCCCGCTCGCTCTCAATAATCATGTTGTACAAGATGACATAACAAGTCATGATCTCCCACATTTGATCTTTCAATCTCCTTCTTTTTGGTAATGGATGACAACATATAGATCAAAGCTTCGACAAATGATAATATAAATGAAGTACATCGTCGCTTTGAGAAGTATGTGATAAGCAAGAGCTCCCCCTAAATTTGTGCATTATTTAAAATTTGCTTTTGAATGCAAATGCACAATCGTTTAGGATCATGGGTTACTCTTTCATGTCACATACATCTTGGTGGAGTGCTCAAAATGATAGAATATAAGATATGCACTCATCACCAAGGCAAGATATGAATGATCATACATAAGAGATAGAATATCATCATTCAAGCACACATTAAAGCATAATATGATCATACACATGATCCTAGAAGTATCTCACACACAAGCATAAATAGTGTATCAACCAAACAAGCAAGTAAACAAGTAGCAAGAGAGGCAAATGAAGCAAAACATTCACTCTCTTGAAGCCTATGATCTATACATTTTCTCCCCCTTTGGCAACAAGGTACCAAAAAGCTTGAAAATGCATAGTGCTATGCGGCTCTATAAGCACGATCACCGGAGCTCCGGTGTGCGAAGGTGGCGTGGGGAGGAGTCCTGCAACAAATGCATCTGAAGAAGTCTGTGGAGCTGGTGGAGTTGCAACTGGAGGAACAACTGAGGCTGTAGCTGCTGGTGCTGAAGTAGTAGCCCTAGTGTCACTGGTTGGAACAGCTCCAGACCTTTGTGCCCTTGGCACTCTCTGAAAAATTCAGTGGTAGCTCTCCCTCTTCTCTCTTCAGCTTCTTCCTGGAGTTGCTCAACTATAGTCTGGATCTCTGTGACCTTCAAGTCTAGATCATAAAACTTTGTCTCGATGATCCTCTCAAGACTCTCTTGATTTTGAGTCAGGGTTGCCAATCCTTTCTCAATTCTCACAGTGGCCTCAAGTAGATAGCTAAGCTAATCCTACTTTGTCTTGAGGTGTACAGCTGAAGCACCAGGAACTTGTGAAGTTTGTGCTGCCTTCTCTGCCTTTACTTTTTCCCTCTTTTCCTGAGCCTCTACTGATGTAGGATGTGAAGCATCCATGACAACCTCATTGTCCTCAGATTCATGCAACAGGGAATGGTGCTCCTTGTCCAAAAGATATATGTCTTTGCCCATCTTAGAGTTGATGAGCATCTGAATGTGTGGAGCATAGCTACATGATCTCTTCTGATCAGCAGCAGTCCTCTTTATTGTCTCAACAATCAAGGTTATCACCTTGAACTTCTTTGGCACATCAAACATATGCAACAAGTTAATTGAATGCCCTCTGATCATCCTGTCATCTCCAGACTTGGGCAACAATGTGTGCCTTAGAATAGAGTTGATGGTGGGCAGCCCATACAATAGATAATATATTGAGCCAAACTTGTGAGTCTCCAAGGCAGCATCAGGAATCTTCTTGTACATGTGTGCCATGGAGTTGCGTCCTTTCCTAGGCTTGGCATATACATCTGTTGTCGGGGGGATGAACCCCGCGCAGGCAACGGAACCCGGATCCTTTTCAAAAAACAACGGGGCCGGCTTCGCCCCTGAAGCTGGCACGCGCTTGGCCGGGTCGCTCGACCCAGCCAAACCCCGCAACCCGGCCAAACTCTCCGACTCGGCCAGGCGCATCGACTCGGCCTCAACAACTAGCACAAGACAGCCGAACCCGTCGCAAACAAGGCTTCCTCAACAAGCCAGCTCCACCCATGGCGTGTTCCGCAACCCAGCCACGGGTCAGCTCCCGTCCCATCCAGGTCATACGATGGGACGACTCTTCAACCACTAACGACCGTGGCAACAGTGCCCCGCCCATGCTTCTGGTCAGCCGAAACGTGGCAACAGTGCCCCTCACCTACCCGCTGACCAGGGCCGGTGTGGCTACAATGCTCCCGTCATCACCGATGATGACAGCAAGCGGTGACCTGACGGAGCGCCACTATACACGACTCGACTCGGCCACGCCTTGACGATCGACAAGACGGCGCACAACCCCCCTAGGCATGCAGGGCCCGCACCTAGGGGAACTCGGCGAAACACAGGCCCCCAGCCCGGGTCCCCAGACGCCAACGACTCGGACCCACCAACTTGTAACATTACCATTGTATCCCTGGGGGGTTGGCCTATAAAAGCCCCCAGGAGCCCACGCATACGGGAAGAGAGAAAAAAGCAAGCAGGAAAGCATAGAGGAACTAGCCACCAAACAGTAGCATCCACACGGGGAGAAGGAGCAGCCTAAGCCTTGGCCAGCCTTCCTTCCTCCTCCATACAGCTCCAGGAGCAACCTTGTACTGTCGCACATCAAACTATACTCGGCAGGACTAGGGGTGTTATCTCTCCGGAGAGCCCCGAACCTGGGTATGTCTTGCGTCCCGCGCTCGCTCATGCCAACCCCGCCTCTGGAGCCCATCAGTGCCCTCGAGCCTCCTCCTCCTCTCTTTAGCCATCCCATGGCATCTGCCGTGCACCCACCACGACAGTTGGCGCCCACCATGGGGCAGCTCGAGGAGCTGGCCGGGAGCACGCTTCAGACGGGGCCCTTCTCCTACTCCGACGAGTTCGTCGTGCTGGCGGACGATGTCGTCGATGCACTCGCCGCCTCCTTCGCCGCGTT